AAAGATCAGGAGGAGAAAATTTAGAGGAGAACTTACATTTGCTGTGCCTGGGAGATCATACCGTGGAATGGCAAAGAGCTTGGGTCTTTTATTGGGCAAATCACTGAATCCCTCTGAGCCTCAGTTTTGATTATTTGTAAAATGAGGATAATAGCACCTGCTTTATATTTTTGTGGCTTGAGTAGTGTAATACATGCAGACTGTCCTTTATGAATTATGCCGTTATCATTTTCTTTCTTTCGTTCTTTTTTTTTTTTTTTTTTTTTTTTTTTTTTTTTTTTTTTTGAGACGGAGTCTCACTCTGTCGCCCAGGCTGGAGCGCAATGGTGCAATCTCAGCTCACTGCAACCTCGATCTCCCAGGTTCAAGTGATTCTCCTGCCTCAGCCTCCTGAGTAGCTGGGACTACAGGCATGTGCCACCCACTCAGCTAATTTTTGTATTTTTAGTAGAGATGGGGTTTCACTATATTAGCCAGGCTGTTCTCGAACTGTTGACTTTGTGATCTGCCTGCCTCAGCCTCCCAAAGTTCTGGGATTACAGGCATAAGCCACTGCGCCCGGCCTAATAATCCCCTTTTCTAAGCACATGCTGTGTCTTGGGTTCCATGACAGACCTTGGATCAGGACAGTGCGCTCCCCCTGGCATTACTGGGCGCCTAGTGAGTAGAAGAAGCCCAGTGTGGTCTGGGATCCCATGAAGAAGCCCCAGCCCGGCATGGGGATGGAGAGAAAAGAGGTACATCCAGAGAGAAAAGAGGTACATCCACCCCTGTACTCATCAGGTCTTTCCTGAACATCCACGAAAGGTCAGGCCCTGTATCAGGATGCAGAACATCCCAGATGGAGGCATCAGCAGTGGTGGCAGCTGCCCATCTCCTTGCCTTGCTGAGGGACAGCCACCTCTTTTTATTTTGTGTTGAGCATGTCTCACCTGATTGACAGCTGCTTGCAGGGAACCAGGCTAAATGGGAAGGGTAAGTTTATTCCAGTGGCTTCTAGGAGAGAAGGTTAGTAAAGTGGGGAAGGGGCTTGTCCTAGACTCAAGGAGAGTGTTTGTTTAAGACCCTGGCACACAGTAGGTGCTCAGTAAGTGGGGGACTTTTCTTTGATGGATGAACTGGACCATTTTCACTCTTGGTCCTGTCACCATTCCAAGGGGAAGCAGAGCATGATGGGGAGTTTGATTTGGCTTGGGTGTGGTGAGTAGAGGAGGCTTCTATGTAGATGTGTCACAGGATGGAGTCAGAAAGCTTTTCTAGACAGGGAACTCTCCCCAAAAAACCTTTACAGGAAGAATCATCCTTCCTGTGTTTGTGTCTGCTCCTTCTGCCCTCACTGGAGGGGCTTGGAGGGGTGATGGGCAAATGTGAGCCAGTGTGCTGGTAGCACGTAGGTTCAGGTCTGGAACGGAAGGGATCTAGCTGTCCAAGGTGCTGGTAGAAGTTGATGCTGCAGCTGTGTTTGCCAGGATGCCTTACTGCAGCATGCCTCAAACTCTACTGTGCGTGCGGATCACCTTGTCTGATTCCTCTGTGGCCAGGCTGGAGATTTTTGGGCTTCTAGCAAGCCTTAAATCAGGCATCCCCAAACTACAGCCCGCAGGCCGCATGCAGCCCCCTGAGGCCGTTTATTCAGCCCCCCGCCGCACTTCAGGAAGGGGCACCTCTTTCATTGGTGGTCAGTGGGAAGAGCACAGTATGTGGCGGCCCTCCAACTGTCTGAGGGACAGTGAACTGGCCCCCTGTGTCAAAAGTTTGGGGACGTCTGCCCTAAATAATGGTGCTGATGCTGGCCTGCAGACCACACCAGAGGAGGAAGACAGCAGAGACTGCTCCTGCGCACACCTACTCAGCACTCTCTATTTGTGTGTGTGTGCATGTGTGAGCATGTGTGTGCATATATATGCATGTGTGCATGTGTGTGTGTGTGTGAGTGTGTGTGCGCTGATCTGACACCTGGGCTTTCTTTGGCCACCAGAGTCTGCTCAGCCTGGACCTGGGATGCAGGCAGGAAATGCCAAAGCAGCCTGTAGCTGGGAGCCTCAGTTGCCCACAGCCGTACTGTCCTCAGGAACACATGTGTTACTGGCTTTCTTCCCTCCTCGGAAACTGCTCACAGGCACAGCCTTGTCTCAGACTCTGCTCCTGGAGAATTCAACAACAGATGTTGTCAGTTATAAAATCTGACCTTCTAGGCAGAAGGGGAGTTTATTGGAAGCCTATCTGGAGGCTCAAAGAGTACATTTAGAAACCCAATGAAAACCAAGAGAAGCCCTGGAGAGCCCAGGAGCAGGGATGCAGTAGCCAGGATGCGCCGACCAGGGGCTGCCTAAGCTCTGCTGGGAAGGCGCAGCTGGCCTGATCCGCCCTCACCTTCGCTCTGTCCTTGTGCCTCGATTTGATGGTGCACTTGGCTGAGCCTGTATTATGTCCATGCCTTGACCTCCAGAGGGCAGAGAGAAGAATAACATGCACCTCTCAGATATCCATTGAGGGGTGAGGTGCAGGCAGGGGAATTATGTTTTTAAAAATTGTTTAGATTTTCTTTTGAGATGGAGTCTCACTCTGTCACTCAGGCTGGAATGCAGTGGCGCCATCTCAGCTCACTGCAACCTCCACCTCCCGCATTCAAGAGATTCTTATGCCTCAGCCTCCCAAGTAACTGGAATTATAGGCATGTTCCACCACACCTGGCTAATTTTTGTACTTTTAGTAGAGATGGGGTTTTGCCATGGTGCAGACTGGTCTCCCAACGCCTGACCTCAAGGAATCTGTCCACCACAGTCTTCCAAAGTCCTGGGATTACAGGGGTGAGCCATCATGCCTGGCCGGGGGAACAGGAAGCCTGGGTGAGCTGCTGAGGAGATGCCCCCTCTCCCCAACTAAAAAAATGTTCACTGCAATCATGCAGCACCAGGTACAAATGCACCAGGCTGTGGGGTTGAAAAAGACATTGCTGATGAATATGCAGAGTAATGGGCTCACTGAGTGAGCTCACAGCATCCTTGCCCTCCAGTGGGGGTTGCCGGCTGGAGACCTGAACTGAAAACACCTGGGGGGGTGGGGGTGGGGGGTTGTCTTCAGCATCTCAAAGTTTCTTTAGGGTAATGCCCACTTAAAGGAATTTTCTCCTGGAATTCAGTAAACAAAATAATTTTGCTTTCAGTTGCTCTAGGAAACTTCCTCTTTCTTCCCAGGGACTTAACTTTAGTAGCTGTACATTCCTAACAAAGAAACAGCCAGAAAATAGCCCCAGGCGCGAATGGGCTCTAAGTCATTATTCCATTAAGTTACCTTTGTTCTGACTTCCCCTTGCCTCTTCTGGAGAAAGGCCTGAATCAGTGGGACTGGCGGGCCAACCTTCTGGGGTTGTAGGATGGACAAGGCTGGGGCAGGGAGGAAGATTCTGTTTCTTCCGCTCCCGATCTAGGAAGCTCTGAGTTACTGGAAAAGGGAAAGGCAGGGCCCTGAAGGTTAATTGACTAGGGCTCTGTAAGGGTGATACTCACTGCCTTCGTGGGAAGAACGGAAGTTGAACCTGGCCCGTCACAGCAAAGGCTGAGGTGGCAACCCAGCTTTCTTCTCTGAGGACTCTGGGCTCAGTGCTTCACTTCTCATGTATTTCAGTCAAGGCCCATTTCATGGTCAGGAAAAGGGAGACGTTCAGTGAGCTCAAGGTAAGGACTCCAAGAAGAGTCGTTCGTTGTCTGAGGCTGGCCTGGAAAAGCCATAGCGAGAAGGCTGAAGGCTGAAGTGGCTTCCAGGCCCCATAGGGCCCCAGCACCGCCCGCGGAGCACCTGCTCTCTGGTGCTTTTTCTGTTGGTTCAGACTTTGTAACCAATTTAATGGGGTCCATCCTTAGTTGCAGGCCAGGCCACGTCAGTGGGTGGCCATTCGGAGCTTTGTGCCAGCCTGAGGCCCTGTGCCTTTGATCTGCTGGTGGGGGACATGAAATGGTTACAATGTGTCTGTCCAGGCAGTGGGAGCTGTGGGTGGGGCAAGCTTCTGGAAGGCAATTTGGATACAGTGACGATGACAGATCCCTCCAGAGTAAACTCTCACTCCTGGAAGTGGGTGTCCACGTGGAGTAGCCGCCACTGCTTTTGCACCTGCTCTTGAGATATTTCTAGGCACTGATTTTCTGGTCCAGAAGTGGCCGGTCCCCCCGTGCATTCCCATCCCCCGGGGACTTGTGTAAAGACAGACTCTAGAGCTTTATGCTAGAACCTCAGAGTGGAGTCTAGAAATTGACATTCATAATAAGCACCTCCTCCGATGCTTCTTATGTGCAAAGTTTGAAAACCCTTAAAGTACCTGCGGATGACTGGGATTCCTTTCCTTTCTTGCCAAGTTAGTCTTTCCTGGATTCAAAGCAGATCTAACATAGTAGACTGCCTTTGTTGACATAAGGAGACCCAAGGGCTGAGGGTTGCTTGGGATGGATTTCAGAAGGATGTTGAATCCAGAGAGACAGGATCAGGCCTCGGGCAACTGGGATGTGCCATTACTGTTAGACAGTTAATCCTCCAGGCTGGGCGTGGTGGCTCACGCCTGTCATCTCAGCACTTTGGGAGGCCAAGGTGGGTGGATACCAAGGTCAAGAGATCGAGACCATCCTGACCAACGTGGTGAAACCCTGTCTCTATTAAAAATACAAAAATTAGCTGGGCATGGTGGTGCATGCCTGTAGTTCCAGCTACTCGGGAGGCTGAGGCAGGAGAATCACTTGAACCTGGGAGGCAGAGGTTGCAGTGAGCTGAGATAGTGCCACTGCAGTGGGTACCAGAGCAAGATTCTGTCTCAAAAAAAAAAAAAAAAAGAAAAAGAAAAAAATTAATTGTCCAGCCACCTGGCCTGAGGCTGGCCATGGGGCAGCTGTCAAAAGTCATCTGAGCATGGCCCTGAAGGACCCAGCCAGTGCTGAAATTCCAAAGCCAGTGCTTCTGCTCCTGGTGATGTTGAACAGCTCCTGAGATCTTTTCCGTTTCCTCCCCAATAGGTGTGCGCCTTGATCGAGTGCGTGGAGGCCGCCAGAAATACAAGCGACGGCTGGACTCAGAGAGCAGCCCATATCTGAGCTTACAAATTTCTCCACCTGCTAAAAAGCCATGTGAGTGTCAGGGCAGTCCTTACCCCTTTTGCCAGTCATCTGTACCTGCAACATCGGGCATCCCTTAGGGAAATGTCCTCTTCCCACCACGGGGTCATGAGACAGTGTAGATCTTGGGGAGGTGACGTCGGTGCCTGGCACATTTAGAATGTAGCTCCAAATGAAGCATGGTCCTGACAAGCCACTGGCCCCACTGTCCAGAGCATGACTCCCTTTGCCACCCACCCAAAGTTACGCTGCAGGTTCCTCCTGGAGAACTCAGCAGGTAGCTTCCCTTGGAGGGATATTTCTCAACACCCAGCTCACCACTGCCAGCAACTTCGTGGAGCCAGAACAGGAGGGGAGAATACAGCCGCTTTGACCTTCCTGGGGCTCTGAGTCCTCGTAAGCCTCCAGCCCGGCCCCTTCCTTCTTTTCCCAGCGTTTACCTTTCCCTCTTTGGTTGTTGCAGTGACCAAGATTGTCTCATACCTACTGGTGGCTGAGCCGGACAAGCTCTATGCTATGCCTCCCCCTGGCATGCCTGAGGGGGACATCAAGGCCCTGACCACTCTCTGTGACCTGGCAGACCGGGAGCTTGTGGTCATCATTGGCTGGGCCAAACACATCCCAGGTGAGCATGTGGGACCAGGGGAGAGTGTGGCCGGGGATTCCCAGCCAGTATCCCCACAGCCTACCCAATGACTGTGCTTCTGATGCCCGGATCCTGGCCTCCAGAAGGCCTGTGAAATCCTGGCAAGCCTGTTTCTCTGAGCTCCTTTTTCCTCCTTGTAGCATTGGAGAACAGGTGGTTAGAAAGCCCAGTGAGGTTTATACACTGCTGTGGGCTCTTCAGAACTAGTTACCATTACAGGAGGGGCCGTGATTGCATCTATAATCAGTATAATATTCAAAGAACAAGTTCCTTGAGCCCTTAAAAGACAGAGTAGGGTTTTCTTATAGACCTTATTGGAATGATATCAGAAAACACCAGAAGAAAGACTGACTCTCTCTTCCTATGGAGGCAGGCAGAATGGAACAGTTAGGAGCATGGGCTTGGGAACCAGATCAGGATTCCAATTCCGGGTCTGTAGCTTACTAGCTGAGGAACTCGCAGTAGGCCAGCTGACCTCTGTCAGATGGGAACACAGAGCTTTGATGTGCGGGTGAAATGAGACCCTGTATGTGCAGTGTTCTGCATAGGGCCTGGAATGTGCTAGCATCAGTTGAATGCCCACTGTTGCCATTTACCTGATCTCTCAGGGATGCCTGTCTCCGGATTGGCTTCTGAGATCTGAAGGGCATTTCTGGTGTGGAAAGTGTGCATTACATGTTTCAGGCAGTGTGGCCTTCCCTTCACTGCATGTGGACCCAAACCCCGCTTTCAGCCTGTCTTGTTTTGGGCAGATGGCAGGAGCTTTTTTATTTTTGAGGATGCCAACATCCAAGCATTATACATTACATACATATTGGGGGCCTTTCTCTGTGCAGGTTATTCCTCAGCTCCTTTAAGACTCTAATAAGTTGACTCAGAGTGTGGTAGAAACATCCTTTTATTGTTTTGATAATGACCCACCATGGACATGGGCAAGTCAGTGTCCTGTCTGTAGATCCGTTTTTGGTTTGTCATGGCTCTGAAAGGTGAATACAGCATGCAGACGATACAGCAAAGGTGTCCAACGCTTTAGATGCTAAGGCCCACAGTTGTTTGTTTGTTTGTTTTTTGAGACAACTCTCGCCCCCTTGCCCAGGCTAGAGTGCAATGGCATGATCTTGGCTCACTGCACTCTCTGCCTCCTGGGTTCAAGTGATTCTTCTGCCTCAGCCTCCTGAGTAGCTGGGATTACAGGTGCGTGCCACCACATCCAGCTAATTTTTTTGTATTTTTAGTAGAGATGGGGTTTTGCCATTTTGGCCAGGCTGGTCTCGAACTCCTGACCTCAAGTGATCCGCCCCCCACCCTTGGCCTCCCAAAGTGCTGGGATTACAGGTGTGAGCCACCACGCCTGACCCAAGGCCCACAGTTGATTGAGGGAATAAAAAAAGTCCTTCTGTGTGAGACCTTGCATGCCCAAGTTACAGGAAGGAGACTTCCTGTGGGCAGGGATGCACAAGTTGATTAGAGGGCCCAGACAGAGGCTCTGCTGGCAAGGACCGCCTGGTGGCCCCTGGGCATTCTGACCAGGGATCTGGTTTGGTACGCCCTTACTAAGGAGCTCAACCTCTCGGGGATTACACACTCAGTAGTTTTTGAATCTGCCCAGTGCTGGTTCAGCAGAGATGTGGGGTCAGGCCACTGCTTAAGACACCTCAGCCTGGATTGCTCCACTAACCCAGGGCCAAATTGGGTACAGCTAACCCCTCGCCCCACCCCCACACTCCTGTTCCAGGTTGAGCAGATCCTGCATCCTAGCAATGGCTCATGAGTGGCGCCTGGCGGTCCCCTGGGTCATTGCTTCCTTCTTCCACAACCCCACCCCTGCAACACCACAGAGGGAGCAGATAGGACCAGGAGACCGTGTCTCCCCTGCACTCATTTTTCTCTGTGCCTTTCCACCTCCCAGCTCCATCTCCCATCTGTGCCCAACCAAGAGGGCAGGGCTGGAGCAGAGTGGGTGCTAAAGGCATAGACTTGGGAATCAGGCAGCCTGGGCTTTCATCTCAGCTCTGTCCTTACTGGCCTTGTGCAAGATACCGAATTTTTCAAAGCTTCAGTGTCCTTGTCTGTAAAAATCACGATAGAGCCCTTCACGGATTGCTGGGAGGAGGTATCGCACTTTGTGTGCATGGCAGAGATGCTTACCATGGCTGTTGTTGCTAATAGTAATAAAAGCCTCCTTTCACGCCTTAATTTATCCTTGTCCATTTTTAGTAGAAAAGTAAAATGAAAACAGGGGCTCGATTGTCCGTCTTAAATGCTAATTTGCCTATTTTGCATAAATCTGCATGCTGAATTCTTTGCCTCCTGACCTTCCAGTGTTTAACGTAAAATTAATTAGTGGAGTCTCCTGCCACTGCATGTAAACCTCATATTAAGGGCAATGACACAATCAAGTGCCTGAGGGGTTCTTTGAGTGTGTGTGATGGAGTCTTGCTCTGTCACCCAGGCTGGAGTGCAGTAGTGTGATCTCAACTCACTGCAACGTCCACACCACCTGGGTTCAAACAATTCTCTTGCCCCAGCCTCCCAAGTAGCTGGGATTACAGGCATGCACCACCACACCTGGCTATTTTTTTTTTTTTTTTTTTTTGTATTTTTAGTAGAGTCAGGATTTTATCATGTTGGCCAGACTGGTCTCAAACTCCTGACCTCAAGTGATCTGTCCACCTCAGCCTCCCAAAGTGCTGGGATTATAGGTTTGAGCCACCGCACCCAGCCAGGTGCCTGATATTTTTAAACTAATCAACTTAATCCCATCTCAGATTAGATGTAAAATGTATCTAAAGACAGGCTCACTAGCCCTGAGAGCGAGAGCAAGAGCGAGCAAGAGAGAGAGAGAGACAGAGAGAGACAGAGACAGAGAGAACTGGCTGAGTAGGGAGAATACAAGCTGGAGCCCACCCTGGGACCTGTGTTGGCTTTTGTCCATCTTGGTTCCTGCACAGAACTGGCCACTCCAGGCTGCTCAGGAGTAGAGCTCTGAAGAACGTAGGCCACTCTCCTTAAGCACGAGGGGCCGCAGCTCACGCTTCAGTGTCTTTCAGCCTGGCACAGAGGGCATTGCACACTTAGCTTTGCACGCACATACTGAGAAGTCAGTATACGTCAGGTCCCCTGATAGGTGTTGTGGCTGAGACAAGGAATTAATTTTGCCCCCAGAATCCCATTTAGAACAAGGCTGACTTCCGGGGGGAACTTGGTTCACTCAGAATCCCAGCCATTGTTCAGCTCAGTCTGACATTGTCCTACCCCATATGCAGGGTTTTTTTTTTTTTTAACCTTGAGTTGAATGTTCCAAGTATTGGGTTCCCCATAAGGCAAGCCCAGGTCTTTGGAATGTCCACCTCTTATTCCATGAGGCCGTGACTAGCAGCCTTTAATAGGCAGTGGGGAATCACTTGATGAATTTGCAGCCTACTCCAAATGACCTGAGCCTGCCATCTTCCCTCCCTGGGCATCCTCGTGCTTGTGCCAGCCCGGAGAGCCTTCCAGGACAGTCTCCACCACCCTGCCCAGGCCCCCATGTATAGGGCATTCCCAGAGGCCTCTTCACAAAGGTCCCTCGGCGGCCCTGCTCCCAGGTAGCCTCCATCTGGCTCAATGAAATATGAGCTGCCGAGTGACAGCGGCTGTGTCTGAAGTGGCCCCAGATCCTATAATTACATCTCCCTTTATTACCTCTGCTAATGGCCCTCCAGGTCGACAGAAATGATCATAAATTAACACATTATGAACTCCACTTGCCACAAATTATGTGCTTTTTTTTTTTTTTTTTTTTTTTTTTTTGAGCCAGGATCTTGCTCTGTCACCCAGGCTGGAATACAGTGGCATGATCTTGGCTCACTGCAGCTTTGATCACCTGGGTTCAAAAGATCCTCCCGCCTTAGCCTCCCAAGTAGCTGAGACCACAAGCATGCACCATCATGTCTGGCTAAATTTTAAATTATTTGTAGAGATGGGGTTTTGCCATGTTGCCCAGGCCTGACATGTTGCCCTGACATTCCTGGGCTCACATGATCCTTTCACCTTGGCCCCCAGAGTCCTGAGATTACAGGCGTGAGCCACCGTGCCTAGCCACTGGGAGAAATTTCTAGCAGTCGAATTGCTAGGTTGAAGGGAGCATGCCTTTTATTTTATTTTTAGTTTAATTATATTTATGACATTTTTATTTTTAAGCATCTTAAGCACTGACAGGTTTCAAAAGCCAAATGTAGAAACAAACGTATATACGGAAGGCTCACCTCTATCCCTGTCACCTTCCGCTCCAACCTCCTAGAATTCACCATTTGTCTTTCTCAATTTTCCTTCTGGCGTTTCTTTTTACAAATATTAGAAAAGATTTGAACTATTTCAGATGTGAAAAGGTATCAGATACCTATCCCTTCCCTGCACAAAATGAAGACACTGTATCACCGTTCAATACTTTGGAGTACATGTTTGGATTGTCAAAGCTATTTTCAGGGCCTTTTGAAAATGTTCAGGGAGGAAAAGAGTGATCAGGGCTGAGTCCAGAACTCAAGCAGCCTCGCAGAGGTCTGGGAACAGCTCCCGGGTACACCCTCCAACGATGGCACAAAACTTTCCAAGTCCAGTCTCCCTCCAACCACCAAAGTGCAGGGCCATCCCTGACTCCTACAAGATAGGCAAAGGCAGCTAACCCTGAACCTGAGTCCAGAGATCTTAACGGGTCTAACCAAATGCTTTGGGCACATCTTCTTGTCATGTGGGAGTCAAAGCCCATGACATTTGTCCATTTTCTCTCTCCTTTTAGCTGTAAAGGTTTGTCGGGCAGCTTCTTTGCTGTGCTCAGCCATGGGAGTGGGGAAAGGAGCAGCTCAGTGTCTGTGCACCCTGGGAACTCAGAGCTGGGTGAGCCATTCAGGTGCACCTGGGGGTGTGCCTCATTCATCAAAGGTGCTCTCGCCACCTTACTTGAGAGCTCAGCCCCCAAGGCTCCCCTTCCACAAAACCTCCCCAGACTCTTGTTTAGACCACCTTCTCCAGTTGCGTGCTCTCGGATCCCTGCATTTGCTGTAGCTCTTCTTACATTATCACTTTGTGCCGACTAGTGCCTCTTGGTGAGTGTCTTCTCCTTCACTGTAAGCCCGTGACAGCAGGGAGCAATTCTGGATTGAGCACACCATTCTGTCCCCAGGGCCTAGTGCAGGCCTGGCACTTAGTAGGTGCTCAGTAAGTTTTTGCTGATTAATGTCTCAAAGAGCAGAAGAGCATGCTAATCACATCCTAACGATTGTACCTACACGATTCACTGCACAGGGGCTTTTCCCCTGGGTTTCCAGAAGCCTAGTTCTTAACTCATCTTCTCTGTCTGCTGCCTTCCAATTCAGTTGTCTGTTAATTTCGCCCCTGCCTTCCTCTTCCATCTCCCCTCCAGTCTGTCTGCTTTTACACCCCCTCCCCAGAGCTGTCCAGCACTCCCCCGACAAACTCTCTGGTGCTGGCTGATTGGTATCTGTTAATTAATGTTGCCCAAGGCCTCTCTCCTACTCAGACACCTGATAAGAGAAATTGGATGTCCATTTCTATCTATCTTTTATTACCTCCCAGCTCCCCCGGCCACCACAGGCAGGCACACACCCTCTCCCATGCAGGGAATCTGGACAACCCCCCCCACACACACACACACGTGCACATGCACACGCGCGTGCACACATACACCATGACCCCCTGTCACAACCTCTCCCTTGAGAAGGTGCATCAATCAAAGCTTGCCCGTGTTGGTCGGTGTAATCACTCCTGCTCTTTTGTTGATTACCCATGGATTCCATTAGCTGGTGGTGATCCAAGGCCCAAATTGTTTAGATCAGGCTTGGGAACTGTGATAATTCACTTGGAGAATGCTCACAGGGTAAGGGTGGCCTGCCTAATTGGGGGCCTTCAGCTCCAGGACTGCCCCCTAAGGTTGAACTGCCATGCCCTGTATGGGAGTCAGGGAAGAAGTGGCGTTTGGGACAGAGGAAGCAGATAGATGGGATAGACCACACAAGCCAAAGAGCTGGGTGGTCCAGGAGCTCAGGGCCACCCAGGCCTCCAGGCAAGTCCAGAGAGGAGAAGCGAGTGATGTCAGCTGTGTGCCAACACCAACAAAAATGTTAATAGTGACAGCAGCCACAGCCGTCACCAGTGCCCTAGCATGTTGAGTGCTGATGATGCTGGGAGAAGTGCCCAGCACTTTTTTTTTTTTTTTTTTTTTTTGCTGAGATGGAGTCTCACTCTGTCACCCAGGCCAGAGTGCAGTGACATGATCTCAGCTCACTGCAACCTTCGCCTCCCAGGTTCAAGTGATTCTCCCGAGTGGCTGGGATTACAGGCGTGAGCCACCCTGCATCTTCCCTTTTCACTTTCACAGCACCCCACCTCAGACAGTGGCTCCAAGCCAGGGGTGGGGTCTAAGTTAGCAAATGAAGTAAAAAGTCCTTCCTGGGCAAAATCACCCCTGGAAAAAACTCCCTTCATGTCAGTTACCCATAGTGCACGGTGCAAACAGCTTTGTGGATGCATTTCCTTCTTTGAATAAATCTAGCATGTCAGTGTTGGAACCAATCACTGAGTTTCTGGTTGAATCTCCAGTGAAGTTACTGCCTTGTGTTTGGTGGTTAAGATGTTTGAAAATCATCTTATTTACCTACTCTTGCTTCCTCTCCTATAAATCAAGATGTTAATTGACTTTGCCTAACTTAAGTGCACGTATAATGCAATTCCAGTATAGTATCGTTGTTTTGCACATGAGGACTTTCCTCTCATCATTAGTAATAATAGCTCAGTAAATACTTTGTATGTTCTGGAATAATCATCTCATTTAGAACTGACTGTTCTCCCATTGCCTAGATGAGGAAGTGAAGGTTTGGGAAAGCTCCGCAGCTTTCACGAGGCCAGCCTACAGCTGGTAAGTGGGAGCCAGGGTTCAACCCAGGCAATCCCCACAGCTCACTGGACAAGACAGTGTCACAATTCTGGAGCCTTCTCCATGCCCAACCTTATTTTCACTGTGGAATCAGCCTCCTCAGTAGCAGGGAGGGGGTAACTCCCATGATTGCAATTCTCAGAACAGGACCGCTGGGTCATCGTTAAGCAGAGAGTGATGGCCCCGGCAGAGGGGCTCTGACCCTGGGAGGACAGGCTGTCCTGTGAGAAAGTGCCCCAGACCCTGGGGGCTTTTGATCTCCTATCAGTCCCAGGCAGTGGTCACTGTGGTTTTCCCTATGGCTTTGAACAGCTGCGTCCTCATTCCTGGTCAGGCCCGTGGGTCTCTGCACAGCTGAGACTGCATCAAGAATCAGGTGTCATTTTCAAACACCAAAGCCTCCCCTGGTTTGAGCAGAGAGTGGGCCCTGGAAACTCCCCAGAGTGGCAGAGAGCACACACTACTGCTGCCTGGTTCCAGTATGTATTCAGTCACTCCTTTAGCTACAAATGCATTGAATTAATAAAAAAGCCTCTATAGAGTTTGGAAAATACCATAGAACTAACAATAATGATGATAACAACTGTCAACATTGACTGAGCTCCTCTTATGCAAGACTTCTCCGTGAATTCCAAGACTGACGTACTCCCCAAGGGGAGGATGGTGAGTCTCACACCACACAGGGAAGGCCTGGGGGCAGGATGCAGGGGTGCCGGGGACACAGTCACCGCCCACCCTGACCTTCACCCCCCGCAGCGAACCCCAGGGAGGCCCCTGGCCCGCCCTCCTGACCTGCCGCTGCCCTCTGCTCCCTCTTCCCACAGGCTTCTCGAACCTCTCCCTGGGGGACCAGATGAGCCTGCTGCAGAGTGCCTGGATGGAGATCCTCATCCTGGGCATCGTGTACCGCTCGCTGCCCTATGACGACAAACTGGTGTACGCAGAGGACTACATCATGGACGAGGAGCACTCCCGCCTCGCGGGGCTGCTGGAGCTCTACAGGGCCATCCTGCAGCTGGTACGCAGGTACAAAAAGCTCAAGGTGGAGAAGGAGGAGTTTGTGACGCTCAAGGCCCTGGCCCTCGCCAACTCCGGTAAGCACGGCAGTGGGGCCTGGAGGGGGAGCTTCTGAGGCATCTGCCTGGGCCTAGTGGGCCCGTCTCTGGGGCCTGTGGGCAGGGCTGGCTGCTGTGGGTAGAGATGAAAGGAAAAACACTGAAGCTTTTTATCACCGAAGATTGTGCAAAGGGTGGCCTGCAGGTAAAAAGATGGTGATGAAGGCTGGCACTGGCTGATCATTTCCTAAGCCTCGGACATCCAGACTGGCACACTGGTTAAGGACACGGGTTCTGAGGCCACATTGCTAAGGAGCAAATTCTGTGTTTACCAATTGGGCAAGTTACTTCACTCTGCCTCAGTTTTTTCATCAGTAAAAGGAGGGCAGTAAACAGTCCCTACCCCACAAGGCTATCGACAGGATTTCTTTATACATAATGGTATTGTTTGCAACATGCCTGGTGCATAATCAGCCCTCAGTTCTTTATTTATTAGAATAATAAATAAAGATGGGGTCTTGCTCTGTCACCCAGGCAGGAGCACTGTGGCTTGATCCTAGCTCACTGCAGCCTCAAACTCCTGGGCTCAAGCCATTCTTCCACCTCAGCCTCCTGAGTAGCTGGGACTACAGGCGGGTGCCATTACCCCCAGCTAATTCTTACCTTTATTTTTTATTGAGATGGGATCTCACTGTGTTGCCCAGGCTGGTCCCAAACTCCTGGGCTCAAGCCATCTTCTCCCCTCAGCATCCCAAAGTGCTGGGACTACAGGTATGAGCCACCACGCTCACTGTCAACTTGTTAAATTAGCTAAGAGTTTATCAAAGTCTAACAAACAACCCGAGAGCAAAATTCTTACTGTTGTGACCTCATTTTACAGATGTGGAAACTGAGACTGGGAAAAGTAAAATTGCCCAGGGTCACAGAGTTAAAAAGTGTCAGAGTTAAGGGTTAAACCAAGGTCCTCTGATGCCAAACCAGCCCGAACTTACACCCACTCCTTGAATCTTTCAGTCAAATCTCTTAGCAGGAGGATAGAACCTTCCCAACTGAGTGGTTTAAACTGGAGTTACAAAGGAGGGCTCACTCCTTTTCGTCTGCCTTCACCAACTTCTGGCTAGAGTATCTGAGGGGAGAGGCAGGCATTGGGTAATGGTGAGCTTCAGCGTAACCAATATCCGCACACAGAGAGCTTCCACGCTATCCAGGGAATGGTGCTGGGCGCCGGGGGGCTGCAGGAGAAGGATAAATACAGGGGCCCCGCCCTACAGAGAGTACATGTCAGTAATCACACAGATAACTGCTGCAGAGCAGCGTGTGGCAGAGTTAACTGCCCAGGTCTGGATCAGGTAGAGCCAAGTTCAAATTCTATCTCTGATACTTCCTAGCAGTATGACCTTGGGCAACTCATTGTCCTTGTGTGTTCAGTAGGGATATTCTGAGCACCTCTTCCAAGCACTGTTTTTTTTTTTCTTAAAAAGACAGAGTCTGGCTCTGTCGCCCAGGCTGGAGTGCAGTGGTGCGATCTTGGCTTAATGCAACCTCCGCCTCTTGGGTTCAAGCGATTCTCCTGCCTCAGCCTCCTGAGTAGCTGGGACTATAGGCATGCACCACCGTGCCTAGCTAATCTTTGTATTTTTAGTAGAGACAGGGTTTCACCATATTGGCCAAGCTGGTCTTGAACTCCTGACCTCTTGATCTGCCCATCTTGGCCTCCCAAAGTGTTGGGATTACAGGCATGAGCCACTGTGTCCAGCCCCAAGCACTTTTTAAAAAACTTTTTTGAGGCAGTCTCGCTCTGTCACCCAGGTTGAAGCGCAGCGACGCAAACTCGCCTCACACTTCACTGCAACCTCCGCCTCCTGGGTTCAAGCGATTCTCATGCCTCAGCCTTCTGAGTAGCTGGGACTACGGGCGTGTACCACCACACCCAGCTAATTTTTGTATTTTTAGTAGAGACGGGGTTTTGCTATGTTGCCCAGGCTGGTCTCAAACTCCTGTCCTCAAATGATCCACCCACCTTGGTCTCCCAAAGTGCTGTGATTACAGGTATGGGCCAGCATGCTCAGCCCCAGGTGCTTTTGTGAGTATTAAAGGTCGACTGAAGATAAAGTACTCAGCCTGGTGCATGGCCTAGAGGAAATGTTCAATAAATATTAATTATTATCATTACTATTAATGTTAGAGGAAACAAAGTGTGATCAGCAGATGGAAGAGAGAGAGCTACAGACAGTACACACAGAGTAACCAACTGGTTCACTCAGTACTGTCCTGCTTTCACTGACAGTCCCACACCCCAGGAAACTCCTCAGTCCCTGGCACACTGGGACAGCTGGTCGCCCTAGCACACGGCTTCATGGCACATGCAGGGAGTGCTGTTGATGACCCACTTGGACCCCTTTTACTGGGTTAGTGCACCCATCCCCCAGCTGCTAACAGCTCACAGCTACCCCTTTGCAGGGCCTACCCTTGACTGCCTTGCCCAGGGGTTTATTTGGCCCTTCCCTTGGCACCACCAGGCAATGGTGGACCCACATGGGAACAACAGTCCAGATCAGAGCCCTGCATGGGATCAGGCTGACGCTGAGGTCCCATCTTTGCCTTGCTGTCTCCTTCCCTGTGCCTCCCACCTCACCACGTCCTTTCTCCTGAACACATACCCTCCACAAATGTCTGTACCTAAACCCCTGTCTCAGGCTCTGCTCTCGGCGGACCTGAGTTAACACGGAAAAGGATGCCATTTTTTTTTAGTTCAAATCTTTTATTAATAATAAATGAATGTAAAATAATAGTAAAAATTGCGTACTTCCACAGAGATTATTTACACATGGAATTTTAAAATTATAGTGCATTCTGTTAGAGAATGCTAATACTGTTTTTTTTTTTTTAAAGTATTGTTTTAGATTTACAGAATAACTTTATTTTTTTGGAGACAGGGTTTTGCTCTTATTGCCCAGGCTGGAGTGAAATGGCACCATCTTGGCTCACTGCAACCTTGCCTCCTGGATTCAAGCAATTCTCCTGCCTCAGCCTCCTCAATAGCTGGAATTACAGGCGCCTGCCACCATGCCTGGCTAATTTTTGTATTTTTACTAGAGACAGGGTTTCACCACATTGATCAGGCTGGTCTCAGATTCCTGACCTTAGGTGATCTACCCACCTTGGCCTCCCAAAGTGCTGGGATTGCAAGGGTGAGCCACCGTGCCCAGCCAGTTTACAGAATAATTGAGCAGATAGTCCATAAAGTTCCATACACTCACCCCATTCATGTCCTCCTTCCCCAGCAGTTTCCTCTATTATTAACATCTTGCATTAGTGCAGTAATGTGTTACAAATAGTGACCCAATATTGACATGTTATTGAGGGCAGTCCATAGTTTCCATCGGGTTCACTCTTTGTGTTGTATTATTCTTTAGGTTTTGACAAATGCATGATGACATGTTTGTACAATGACGTTTCATACAGAATAGCATCAGGGCCCTGTGCTTCCCCTACACAGAAGGGAGCATTTCATTTCAACCAGTCGTGGCAGAGGGACTGGGAGTTCCGACGGGCGGAGGAGGAACAAAAGCAGTGAAAGCAGAGGAAGCAAGGTGACAAAGCCAGGCGCAGCCAAGTCCTCCGTTTTGGGCTCTCCTCACTTACATCAAACACAGAGCTCAGGCTTGCCTGTGTTGGGAGAGGCGAGTAAAGAGGTAGCGCCTCCTCCGCTCTTCCTTGGGCCTCGGCACTGGACCACACCACACCAGCTTTTAGCCATTCTTTCCTTGATCTCACATGGACCTGCACACACAGACACATGCACGGGTATCTATACAAATGCATGCACACATGCACGTGTGAACACACATATATGTACATGCACATACTCCCATATTCACCCACATACATGTATACACACACACACACACACACACACACACACACACACCTGAGGATCCAAGGTGGTCTGTCAATGTGAATGCATCAGGAACTTCGATTGGCATCAAACGTTGCCCGAGTGCACACTTTGTCACATGGGATGAGGTTTCAGGTCTCCAGACTTCTTGCCCCAGTGACACGTAGAGCGCCATCCTGCAGCTGGTGCACAGGATGAGAAGCTGGAGGTCGGGGAGGAGTTTGTGATGTTCGAGGCCTTGGCTGACCCCCAAGAGGGGACACAGGCCTTAATGGCGGGAATGCTTCCTTCCCAGCACAGAGGGGTGGAGCATGAGGCCCTGTTGTTACCAAGGAGATACTCAGAAAGCAGGCTGGCTAGTCGTGTTTTTTGTTTTTTGTTTTTTTTTTTAAGAAATGATTTTTCAGCCTAGGTGACCCGGTGAGAGCCTTTCTCAGAAATAAATAAATAAAACAAAGTAATGATTTAAAGGAGCGCTTGCCCAAGTATCTGTGATGAAGGACCCATTTTTAAATGTTTCAAAATATTCAATACATTATGGACAGATCATTTTATAACGTACAACAAAAGCACATTATTAGAAAAACTGAAATTAACCAGATGTATAAAACATGACACCAATTTTTAAATTTTTATATATAACATATAAATAGAAATCATCCTGCCAAACTGCTATAAAGTTTCTAAATGCTTACTCTCAGTTTCTTATCAGAGACCAGTAACATCCAGAGGGCAGGTGGGAGCCAGTCTGTGCACCACACTTGGAGCAGGGTGGGTTTAAAGCATGTGCTTCAGGGTCAGTGAGACCCGGGTTCAAATCCTGCTTCTGCCACCTACTGGCTGAGTATCCAGCAACCCGAACTTCCTGAGCCTCGGTTTCCTCATCTGAGAAATAGGGAGAGCAGCAGCTCATTGCGAAGAATGTGCGGTGACGCGTATCAGGCCCTGGCCACCGTACTTGGCACAGATCCCTCCTAGTTCATTGTATTTCTTCTGTTGGGCTCTGCCAGGCACAGTGGGTGGCCTGGGGAAGAGGACCTAGTTGGGTACAGCCCCTGCTCCCTGAACTTGGATGTGGCAGAAAGAGCTGGTGATTCCTGGCATAAGAGAGAATCATGTAAAGGGCTCAAGGAAGGAAGCGTACATTGTTTTCGGCTGGGGAGGTAGAATCTGAGTGAGGTCTTAAAGCAAGAGGTGATTCGGTAGGATGGGAAGAGTTCTGTGGTGGGATCACCAGGCAGGAAATGGGGAAAGAACAGGCCAGTTTGGGGGAGAGGCTAGAAAAGCAGGCTGGGGGCTGGATGCGGTGGCTCACGCCTGTAATCCCAGCACTTTGGGAGGCCAAGGCAGGTGGATCACAAGGTCAGGAGATCGAGACCATCCTGGCCAACATGGTAAGACTCCATCTCTACTAAAATACACAAAAAATTAGCTGGGTGTGATGGCGTGTGCCTGTAGTCCCAGCTACTCAGGAGGCTGAGGCAGGGGAATTGCTTGAACTGGGGTGGCAGAGGATGCTGTGAGCCGAGATTGTGCCACACTGTACTACAGCCTAGGCAATAGAGCAAGACTCCATCTCAAAAAAAAAAAAAAAAAAAAGCAGGCTGGGGTCAGACCAGAAGCTCAAGGGCTATGAAGGGACTGGATTGTGATGGGGCCAGTGCAGGGAGCCAGGGAGAGTTGTGGGGGAGTGACCTGCCCTATCCTTGAAGGGGAAAGATCACCCAGGCACCACAGGGAAATTGTGTTGGCTGGAGGAGGGATGGGGGCCAGGAGACCCCATGGAGGTGTCCTAGTGGCAGCCCCCAGGGCCACCATAGGTGTCACTGCTGAGGGTGAGTGCACGGGATGAGTCAGGTGTCGGTTCAGTGGCTCAGGGGGCTGGCGCTGGGCAGAAGTGCCCAAGCACATCAGAGGCAGACTGTGTCTCCACACTCTGGCCCCCTGGGAGCCTGCTGGCCAACATTTACCCCACATCCCAGCCATCCCCAAAGCTCCTTGACAGCAGAAAAAATTCATAGCCATTGATTTTGTAATTAACAGTTTATCAATGCCATCGATACAGACCTGCTGAAGGATTGCAAAGAAATTAATCTTGCAATGTTATTTTATTTCATTTTTGGTCGAAGGCAGCTGCCAATTTTGGCCTCCTTGGGGAGAGTGGGGGGGAGGATGGAGAGGGTGGGGAGAGGGAGCTGGCAGGAGTTAGGAGCCAGATGGCAGGGCCCAGCCGTGTTAGGTGTAGGAATGGGGCCATGCTTCATCTCCTACCCATTGATGAAGGAGGGCTCACTGCCTTGGTAGCAGGGAGCAGGAAAATGTGGAGGCTTGGGTGTGGAGCCAGTGAAGACCCAGCCCTGCAAGGGCACTCACCCCCAGCTGAGTCCCCACAGGAATGATAACATGACCTGACATTGATTAGATGCTGACCAAGCTCTGGGTAACATGCTGCTTCAGTCACCCTCACCACCAACCTGTGAGTTCACATACTTGTGTTTAACAGCCAGGTCAGGCCCAGCTATAACGTGGCTGTCAGCAGGTGCCTCCCTGCCATGCTGGGATTTAGGTACATTTTGTTTGAACCCATAGTTCATGGCCCAAGTTCAAAACCTTCCCCAAGATTTTAGAGAATGCCCAACACCCCAGTTTTAGACCTCTCTCCATCACCGTGCCCCATGCTTCCACCACGGGGCACCCTGTTACGGAGCTTAGCCCCTGTGTCTGTGCCTGTATTCTGTGTCCTATAATCAGAGTTTTGTCAGGTTAGTAATTAAACTGAAGACTTGGGGAGCTGGTGCCTGGCAGCCTCTGCAGTGGTTGTCATGGTAATAGTAGTGTAGGGACCAGGGGCGGTGGTAGGGGCAATACCGCTACCAGGGCACTGACTTGTGACGAGTTCTGTTATAAACCCTTGACCTGCTTAACTTCTTTAAGCCTCTGAGGTAGGTATGGCTATTGTCTCATTTTACACGTGAGGAAAATGAGGCACAGAGAAGTTAATCACTTGCCTAACGTCACACAACCTGCAAATAGAGGACACAGGATTCCAACAGTCTGGCTCCAGGGTCTCTGCTGCCACCCCCTGGTGACCTCTTGAGAAATGTTCTCTGTAGATGCCAGTCTCTCTCTGGGTTCGAGTCCCAGCTCTGTCATTAGCCTCTGTGACCGGAGACTGGCAGTTAACCTCTCTGAGCCTCAGACTGGCTCTCTGTGAAGCGAGGGTTCCGAAGCGCCCCCTGCCTGCCTGCATGCTGCCTCCTGGACCCTGAGATGGCCCACGCCAGTCCGCACTCCCCGGCCAGGCCTGCTAATGCTCGTCCTTGTGCCTGCAGATTCCATGTACATTGAGGATCTGGAGGCTGTCCAGAAGCTGCAGGACCTGCTGCACGAGGCGCTGCAGGACTACGAGCTGAGCCAGCGCCACGAGGAGCCCCGGAGGACGGGCAAGCTGCTGCTGACGCTGCCCCTGCTGCGGCAGACGGCCGCCAAGGCCGTGCAGCACTTCTACAGCGTCAAACTGCAGGGCAAGGTGCCCATGCACAAACTCTTCCTGGAGATGCTGGAGGCCAAGGTCTGACGGCCCCGCACACGGACCATGCCCACCTACAGACAGACAAACGGACAGACCGAGGTGGAGCCCTCCACAGCCACCAGCCTCCACCTTCAACCCCTGTATCACGGCTCTGAGCTGTCCCAGAGGCAGGGGTTGCTCGCTCCTGGCTGTGTGCAGACTCCCGGGTGCAGTGGGGTGGGGGACGGGGATCGGGGGGGCAGGGGCGTGGGGCTCGTCTGTAACTGGCTTTTTCTTTGGTATGTCTTTCCTTCTCCATGAGCAGTGCGGAGGCCTGGGCCAGGGCTGACTCCCTTCAGGAGTGGAGACCACTGGAGCAAGTGCCCCTCCCCTCCACCAAACCACTGAGAGGCAGCATGTGCATTTCCTAACTCCCTTGCCCCTCCCCCATCCGCGGCCCGGGTGGGCAGTGCTCAGTCTGGGTACCACCTGGAGGTTTTCCTTCCGCAGAGGGCAGGTACTCAAGGGACAACAGCATCTTTCTTCCAGAGGCCCTGCTTGCTGAGATCGTCTGGGGCCCCTCGAGAGCCCCATACCTCCAACAGTCCCCATTCAGCTTTCAGCCAGGGTGGACCCACAGGAGAGCAGCGGCTAGAGCTCACGTGTTTCCTGGGCACCCCACCCCCTCGGGGCCTGCCCCCTGCCTGTCACCCACCATGCCAGTGCCCGCCTGTCCTCCTCTTCTCCTCCCCCACGAGTCCCCCGCTACTTCCTGACCCTACCTCAGAGCTCACTCACCCAGTGGGTTCAGCCAGCCGCGGTGACTCCAGGGCCTGTAGACAGGAACGTGCTGGCACAGAGAAGAGCGGGGGCCACACCATCCTCTCCAGAACCCTTTCCCGCTTCCTGCCTTCCCCCTGTTCCTGAAGGGCAGGTCTAGGCCAGGTGGGCCCGTGAAAAGCTCAGGAGCCTGGCTCCATCCGAGAGCACCCCAGTGGGAGGATCAGGGCAGGATGTGCAGAGGCCCAGACCAATCTTCGCCAAGCACAGAAAGGCCCGGCAGCTGAGAGAAGTAGGCAGAGGGGCCCCGAAGGGAGGGAGCTCAGCGGGGTGGCCAGCCTCATCCTTCCTGGCTTCCCTTCTCTGCACGCCACATCATGCTGCAGGGCTGGCATGCCAGTGCCACAGGAGGGGTGGCCTCCAGCCAGCCTTGCACAACCAGAGGTTTGGTGTAGCTCCCCTAGGCACTGCGCGCACACCAGCTCTCTGGCAGGACCCCTGCAGTCCCCCTGACTGCTGTGCCGGGTGACCAACCATTCCAGTTTGCCCAGGATGTTCCTTTGTCCCAGGAAACTCCTCAGCCCCAGGCATATGGGGACAATGGGTCACCCTGTTTCTATGGATGGCCATGAAGGTTTTCACTGACTCAAGGGGCAGCCCTGAACACCCATCTGTGCTCACAGGTTGGTAAGGGCAGCTTAGAGGATCTCCCAAGGACAAAAGAGTATCAAGCCATGATGGAAAATGCCCCTTCTAATCAGCTGCCTGCACAAGGAGGGATCAGAGCAACCCCACGGGGATCCCCCATCCACGCCCTTCGAGTCCAACCTGCCTCATCAAGAGAGGCAGGCAGATCTCACCGGGCACTGGGACACCAGGAGGCCAGGTGCCTTTCTGCAGCTTTTCCATTGAAACCCTGGTCCCGCCTCCCTGGCTCTACCCTAGGAACCTCATGCTGATGGCGTGCTGAGGTCATCCAGACAGGAGGGAGGGCTGGCTGAAATTCACAAACTGCAGAGCAGCTCTCTGATGGTGTCCCATATCAAAAATGTTAAGGATTCCAAGAGCCCTCCCAGACCAGGGACGTGTCCACCCCACTCCCCTTGCCTGTGGGGAATTGGGCCTGGGTCACTTGAGGAGTGAGCATTGAGCCGTCACCCAGGATGCTGCATCCGTCGCCCTCCATGCAGCCCCTCTCCCCCGATCTGGGTGGAGGCACACATTTGGGGCAAAGGCCCCTCCTCAGTGTCAAGGAACACCAGCTGCAAATGAAGTCTAGCACAGTGTTTAGAGCAGGCGTCCGCCCCCTGAGGCCATTTATTCGGCCCCCCGCCGCACTTCAGGAAGGGGCACCTCTTTCATTGGTGGTCAGTGAGAGGAGCACAGTATGTGGCCGCCCTCCAACGGTCTGAGGGACAGTGAACCGGCCGCCTGTGTAAAAAGTTTGGGGATGCCTGATTTAGAGGCTTCGCCCTGAGAGCCTGTTCTGGGGAAACCTTCACAGTCGAGACCTTGGGGTGTGCTCCTTGGGGCTCCCTTAGTCTTGCTGTGCTGTGTCCTTGCAGCGGGGCCATGGTGGCACCCTGCTCTGTCACTTCCTGCTCAAGCTGAAGGACCCAGGTGGCGTCTGCTGCCCGTCTTTCCTAGGGAAAGCATCTCTGGCTCTGCGTGCAGCATCCGGCTTGGAGCGGGTGGGTGTTCTGTGCACCGGGCAGCTGCGCCTCGCTGGATCTGGTGTTGCTGCCCCTCTAGCACAGCAGGGCAGAAGTCGTGATAGTTGGTGTCCATGAAGTGGAAGCTGCTTTTACACTTAAAACTCACATCACAACAGGAAATGTGTCCGTAACGATGGAACGCCATCCAATGGGAAAGTTCCTGGTACTGAAGGGATCCATTGGACGCTCAGAAAAGTTTAGGAGCCAACTTCTTAGCTGGAAGCCTGGTCAGATGAAGACCCTCTCTAGGGAAGGGAGACGACTGACTTAGTGGGAGGTGGTGAAGTGAGGAGAGTTTAGGGGACCCTCCCCGCAGTGGAACAGAACTCAAGTTTACCCCAAACCTGCCATTTCTGGGAAATCTGTAAAGAGGAAACAGCCTGTCTCAGTTGTACTCTCATGATACAGGTCGTTTGAAATGAACCAAGAAATAAAACATAAAAATCCAACCGTGGAGAAGGTGGTATGGCTGGGTTTTGTTCGGTCCCCTTGTCTTCATCTGTTCTAAAGTTTCCAGACTGGCTTTGTCACTTTGTGAACTTGTCATGTGTGAAATCCGATCTTTGCATATAGGGAACTTCCTCAGGCCACACTTTAAGAACCCAGTAAGAGGCTCTCAAGACTCCAGCAGAGTCGGGAGGCCGAGGCAGAGCCTTAGAGGAGCCAGAACTTGCATCCACCTGTGTCGGGGGCCCCCTTTCCCCATAGACTCCACCCTCCCTCTCTGCAGATAGAAGTGGAGGGTGACCAGCTTGCGATAAGAAGACTGAAGGGTTCAGAGTCCATGCTCACGGAACAGCACCAAAGAAAAGCACTACGTGGAAAGATTGTTTTATTTTCTATTAATGATAATATGGCTGGAATGGCTTCTTAAGATGTATATATTTTTTAAAATGGCAGTTCCCTCTTGCAGCATCACCTACTTGTACGTCTTTCCGCCTCTGTATGTGATCTCCCAGAGACCCCCATGTAAATCAAATGCCCTAGGATTCTTTCATCCTGGTCCCATGTATCTGGAATCTAATAAATAAGGAAAGGCCTATCGAGTTTCTTCACACATTGTCTTTCTGGGCTGACTGTCCCCTGGACGGCACTGCCCTTGGGTCTCAGGCTGAGGCTAGGAGAGGCCATTGGGAGAGGCAGCCCAGCCTCCATGTTCCCTGGGGAGTCCCATGGTGTCATTTTAAAAGCATGTTCAGCAGCAAAGCTCAGGAGTGCAACTTGAGAAGTCTGATGCAGGTCTGAGAAGCTCCCTGTTGCTTTTACGCTTTTGAGATTGATGGTAAAGCAATCAATTATTTTCACTAAAGCCACAGAAACGAGATGGCAGATGTAAGTGAATGAAGACCAATTCATTGGCTTAGGATTTTGAATTGCTTCTGTGACACACACAACACTGTGCTATACAGCCCACGTGTTATTCCAGGACACACTCAGGACCAGTGAGAAACAGAGGGGAGAGCCTAAAAAGGATCAAACATGATATTTCAAGATGCCTTTTGTTGCATGTAAAAGACACCTCAGCTTATACCAGCTAACTGGATTTATATGTGAAGTCCACAAGTGGGGTAGACATCAGGCAGGGTTTGATCCAGAGGTTCACAAAGTAAATAGGGTTATGATTCAACTTTTCTGATTCCCTCATTTCTTCTGTGTGTTCGCTTCATCCCCAAGCTGGTCTCTTTCCTGGTAGCAAGAAGGTTGTCAATTTTTTGTTTCACACCCTGGGGGATAAAGAAAATAGCTTTCTCCAAGCATGGAAAATGTCTGCACTTTGTTCTGGACTCCGTTGGGTTTTGTGTGGTCCCTTAATGAATCACCATGACTACCTTGGGTTAGAATCACTTCCACTCCATGGCCTGGCTGCTACACCGTGGGAAAGGGGTGGCTTGGAAGTCTAGAAGACAACCAGCCAACTGTAACGCCCGCAGAACCCACATATTCGGACAGCTCAGGGTCTGGCCAGCTTTCAGTGAGAGGTTTGTAAGTCTCCTGAAGCCCATGGAAGAAACACATGGTTATCTTTGCACTCAGCATCTAGCTGGTCTCATGCACAATATGCATTATGCGCTTGTGGGAATGAAAGTACTCAGTTGATAGATTCTTCTCAGGTAATTCACCTTAAAAGAATGCACACACAGCTGGTAGTCACGCTGTTATCATAGGAGAAAAAATAATTAGGAAAGAAAGTCAACCATAATATCGTGTAATGCAGTCAAAATGAAATCTTTATTTGATGATCCGTATGCTAGGATTTTCTGTGCCACTTTTTCCATTTATGCATGTAATTGTGATCAGACCAACAAAGAGCTCGTATTTTCAACACTTAACCTCATTGATATCCACATCCAGTCATTCTCTAGTCTCTCTCTCTCTCTCTCTCTCATTTTTTTTTTTTTTTTTTTGTTAGCATAAAAGTGAAGCTTCAAAGAAAGGGGAAAACCTCAACTAATACTCATTCATTCTTTTATTCATTCAACAAATCTTTACTGAGGCTCCACCCTGTTCCAGGCCCTGTTCTGGGCATGGAGACGATCTCGGTAAAGAGAACCAAATCCATCTTCACAGAGCACACAATCTATTAGGCGGAAGAGAGAGAAAATAGGCATAGCAAATAACCAAATTCTAGTTTGTTAGAATGTCATAAATTCTGTGAGTTGCGGGGGAAGGAAGGTAGGGGTGATCAGAAATGGGGTGGTGGCTAGAATTTTAAAAGGAGGGGTCAGAACAGTCTCAATGAGGACATTACATTCAACAGT